TGCACAGGGAGACAGCTCAGGGGGCAGGGGTGCATGGAGAGATGGACACAGGGAAGAGGTAACTATCGTGAGGAAGTGGGAGGGGAGCTGTTGCATTGTGGTAAACTGTGGTCAATGTCATGAGACAAAGTGTATGTGAACCACTGTATGGAAAGTGAATTTGCTTTGTAAATTTTCACCCAAATCACAATTAAAAAAACAAAAATTGCCTTAACACTCTTCATTATCCGGACAGGCAGTCCCCAGGTTAAGAACCTCTGTCTTAAGAACAGCTCCTACTTGCCCTTTAATGTTACATAAATTTGTCCTCACTTTGTAGATTAAACCAACCCCTCAGGGCAACAAATTCATCATCACCCTCACTTGCTACACGTGTAGTTTTTAAATCATTGAAAAAGCTTTCAGTCTTTTCTTGCACTAAAGTAAGGCTAAATAAGAACCGTATACACTCGGTCCAATTTACCTACAAATTCTTAAAGACGACATTAAGACATCATTTGTAACCTGGGGATTGCAAGCGTGCCTTCACATTTCCCCAACCAAATCTTAGCCAGCCTTCAAAGCTAAACTCAGGACACAATGCAAATGTTTATTAGACACAAACCTATTTGTGAAGAATATGTTTTCTGGCAGGCACTACCAGGAGTTAGAGTCCTTTGGGAGGTGGTGCAAATGGTTAATTAACATCCTCAGCTGCTAACCGAAGGTGAAAGTTCATCAGGAGATGCCTTGAAAGAAAAGCCCAAAAGTTAGCTGTGGAAAAGTCTATGGAACAGAGTTCTACCTCGGCGCTCATGGAGTTGCCATGAACTGCGATCAACTCAATGGCAGCTGGTTTGGTCACCTAAAACTTTTTTGCTCTTTCTTCTCATGCAACACTAGCAATAACAGCTAATGTCTAACAGCACCGTTATGTGCCAGGCACTCTTCCAAATGCTTTAAGTAAGTCAACTCATTTACCACCAACAAAGCAGAGAGAGGAAATAAAAGTTCCGATTACAAAACTTACAAATGGAGAGGAAGACAGGGCAATGTCTGTATAGAACAGACTGTTCCAAAATTAAGGAGACAAGAATTCACTTCAGAGTAACCACAAAGAAAATTAACAACCCCCCTAAGCAAACCCAGAAAGAAGAAAAACATATGGGCTTATTAGTAAATCAACTCGTTTAGTCCTCACCATTCATTTTGTAGCATTACCAGAAGGCACTAGTCCCTGGAGAAGAATATCATGTTTGGTAGAGGATCAGTGGAAAGGGGAAGATACTTGATGACATGGATTGACACTGTGGCTGTGATTACGGGCTCAGCATAGCAATGATGTGACAATGGCACAGGACCAGGCAATGTTTTGTTCTGTTGTACACAGGGTTGCCATGTGTCAGAACCAACTCAACGCACTTAACAGTCCTCGTAACCATTCTGAGGTAGGTGCAGTTATCCTTATTTTATAGTCCAGAAAATTCGCTTCAGCTCATAACTGGGGCAGAACCAGATTTTTTTTTGTTGTTGTTTTTTAAGAGTTTGTTTTACATTCAACATTTCGTGTACATTTAGTTTCACTCCCCATTTACCATGCCCAACCCTATGCCAGTCTCCTCCCCTCCCTGCCCAGTAACCCTCCCCCTGTGCTCCTCATAGTATGCACTCCTCCTGTCTGTCCTGCATTACCTCCATATGAATGTTGCCCCTCTGGTGCCCCGTGGTCTATTGCTCCAAGGAATGTATTCCCATAGAGTATGTGGGTGCGTCCCCCTGGGTTGAGGGGTCTGCACGTACATCTTGTTAACTGTTGGACTGAGAGCCAGCCCCTGAGAGTGAGTTTTATTCCAGGTGCAGAATGTATTCCAGGGCCATAGTATTGGGGGTCTCACCAGACTCCATCCAGAATCTGAACATAGCATGGCGCTAGCATCTTGGCATCTACACCACATACTGATATGTGGAGCACCTACAGGAGCAGTAAGAGGGAAACAAAGTTCTCCAGGACACTCCGCCTCCGGGATCCTGGCTGGTGCAACTGCCTTCCCCAGTCTTTTGCTGAAGTCACATTTCCCTGTTGGTATAGCCCCTTGCACATACTAGGTGTTCTGTAAATGGTTTAATTCTCGCATCTATCTTTTTTCCCCCTCATTCCTCAGTCTATTTTCTTTTCCTCCAATATTGTATTTAAAGCATTTTTAAACCCAAAGAAGAATTGATTCTCTAGAACCTGGGCTTGGACAAATTCATTGCAGGGACCTCACACACAAAAACTCCTGTCTCCTTTGACACAGAACATTTCTGCTGACACATAGTTCAACATTCTAAGTTGACATTCAACAGGCTCTCTACTGCTTCTTAAAAGTTTTTTTTTTTTTTTTAATTGTGATTTGGGTGAAAGTTTACAGAGCAAATTCACTTTCTATACAGCAGTTCACACACACTTTGTCTCATGACATTGACTACAATTTCCCACAATGCAACAGCTCCCCTCCCACTTCTTCCCCATAGTTACCCCTTCCCTTCATGTACTCCTGCCCCTTGAACTATGTCCCTATGACTACACAGCCCTTCTATTCTCCCATGATTGTTCTCTCCAAGGAGTGTATCTACCTAGTGTAAATGTTCACCTCATATGCCTATCTTTTGTTTGGCTGGAAGCCACAGGTATAGGTTCACTTCCAGATCTGAAGCACAGCTAGGGGCCACAGTCTCAGGGGTTCCATCAGGCTCCATGCTTCTGATAAGTTTTAATTGTTCTGTATACCTTGCCTTTTGCCTTACCAGATAAAATTAATGGCCAGCTTCAACTTAAAAGATGGGAAAAAGAAAATAATTTGTTCTATTCTCCCCCCCCCCTTTTTTTCTGTTATCAATATAAACCCCTAGCTTGTTTTTTTTGGGGGGAAGCATTTTTCCTAGTTATAGGAATGATGCTGCCCATCCATGGATCTCTAAAACAAATGAAACGTCAAATTATAAAATTGCTCAGACACATTTTTTCCTGACACTCTCCAGCAGAGAAAAGTTGTAGGCCTATACCAGTTTCTCAACAACAGCAAATGGGAACTGGGTATTTCTTCATTGTGGGGGTTTGTCTTGTGTATTGTAGATGTTTAGCAGTATCCCCGGTAACACTGTCCCAGTTGTAACAATCAAAACTATCTCCAGAAATTACCAAATGTCCCCTGGCAGAGAACCACTGACTTGCACTGATCCTCATGAGCTATACTAATGCTAATCAGGTGGATGTTGTTTGGAGCTTTGCTTCAGTACCTCAGTTCAGCCCATGGTAGTATCCCATTGATGTGGGGATTCTATTGGTTTTACCACATGCTACATGCATGGACATGCATGTGAATTTAATTTCCTCTACTCTGACTCCAATGGAATGACTGAAAACTCTGGGGAAGTCATTTCAGTATGAAGCTTCTTTCTCTGAGTTTTGACTGAGCTCACTATGGTATAGTGGAATAAAACAGTTTGACAACAATTTAACAAATTTCTTTAATAAAATTTATAAAAATGCATCTCCAAGAATAATTTTCTCAGCTTCAATTATGTTCCGTTTCCACCCCTAGAGATAATACAAAATTATCAGCACCCACAAACATATACACTCAAACAAAAATACAGTGACAGGTTCTACAAAGAACTACATTAGATTGAACTGTGGAAAAATCAAGACAATTCCAAGACGTGATTGCAGAGAGAATCGTTTTCTTCTAAAAACAGAAGACAGGCAATAAAGCAGTTTAGGTAACTCTTTCCTGTGGTTTCCTCAAAGTTTCTTGAAATTCTCCTTTTAACTACTAGAAAGTCCAAATCAAGGTCCCCACCCCCTCTTGCTTAACATCCTGCAGGGCAGCTTTTTTTTCTTCTGCAACTAAGAAAAAAATGTGGGTTTTCTAATATTCTCCATTTTGTACACTCACTTCATATTTAGGGTAAATGTATCCAGATCAGCCAGCATTTTTTTGTAGATACTGCCAAAAGCAGGCACTTGGGAATTCTGTGCTTCAGGTACAAAGCACAGTATTAGGATCCTGGTAAGAGACAGACTCACCTCTCAATCATCCTCAGCATCGGTCTACTAAACTGCCAGCTCCATGAAGAACTCCCTCCCCCTCTCTAAGCCCTCGCTGCATACTGCCCTGCTGCTGGCCCAGCCGCCTTCCATTTTTTGGCTGCAGCACTTTAGGCACTATTCCTAATCTCAAAACATATCACTATTTTTCTTCAATGATAAATACAAATTAAAAATTAAGTGGCACCTGCAAACCCCCCATACTTTCTGATTAAGGCTTTCTCTGTTTAGAAGCAAAGTACCCCATAATGACCTTCACATAACAAACATTCCTACTTAAAACAAGTAAACGGATACAATCCTGTTTCAAGTTATGTACTCAGGAGATAAAAAAGGAAAATCGTTAAAGGTTTTAAGAGTACGCAATACCCACTCGAGATATGGCCAGGGCAAGACACAGCCTCCTAACCTGAAAGGGTCTAGATAGTTCTGTTCTGGAGAACGCCCATCTGGGGCAGTGCAGTAAAATTCAGGAGTAAGAGTGGATACTGGGCCATGGATGGACACCAGTGCAGTGGTAGGGGAAGAGCACACAATTAAGAAAAAAAAAATCATATACACAAAACAACAGAAATAGGCAATTGACCCCTCCTTCCTTTTTAAAATGAGACAGAGCCCCTAAGGAGACCTACAAGGTGTTGGCAGGATCCTGAGACTGAAGCTGTTCTTTTGAAATATTACATTTTGAGGGTCTTTTAGGCATCATCACCATGTAAAGAGTGGTAAAAGAGAGGAGTCAGGAAGCAAGTCAAAACCTTTCTAACACACAGATTAGATCAATAAAGTGGAAATCCCAGCTATCCTAACTGCACGATCATGGTCTCTCAAGATCTCAAGTGAAAGGAGTAGAAAACCAACAGAAATGTTACTTCCACGTGTCCCATCACATGGGTGTAGGGATGGATCACTCTCCCCATCTTCCTTCACTACTTTAGTCGTCCTCGCCACCTCCGTACATATCTGCCAGCTTTTTGAAGCGATTGCCCCATTCATTCAAGTAGTCGTAGTCCTGGTCTTGGTCTGACTCTGAGGAGTTCAGGGAGCTCAGACTGGCAGCTTCAGAACCACTACCTTCGTAGTCAAACACGAGCAGAGAGTCATAAGGGGGAGCAGTGGGGTCACTGTCGGCTGCCTTCAGGTTCTAAAGAGCAAGGGGGATAACAGGACTTTTCAGTGAAAGGAAACACACATTTGTCATCTTTGGCAAGGAGATCTTTTCTTGGTATCCTCAAGCTCTGTGACACATGACAACACCAGCACGGGATAACTAATACCAATTAGGTGAATTTATAACAGATAGACAAAAAAAGAGAATGTTGCAGGAAAACACACAGAATTTCTCCCTAAACCAAAATGGTAAACTATGTGTAAGCAAGGGAGAAATAGGCACCGACCAATCAGAATGACAAGGATGTGCCCATAGATCGAGGTGGGGCTCCTACACCACAAATCAGGGTGGACAGAGGCTAAAAACAATGCTTTCTCTTTCATTTTGAACTTGTTTCATTATAGACATTTCCATGGTTGACACTTTTAAAACTGCAAATGTATTATCTTTGTAATTAAAAAAACAAAAGCTATAGTCCCATGTGACGACATGAGAATGAAAGTGTATAGAGGAAAGGATCCAAATCCAGATATATCTATAAAGGTGGCTTGAACCAATCCTTCTTGTTCCCAGTTTGCTCTTAGGATCCAGTGGCCACAATGGATGTGCCTGACACACTAGCCTGGATTGCCTACCCAGCCTTCTATTTACATGAGGTAAGTTCGCTCCTATATATTTAAGCTGCTAGTACTTACACCTGAGTAAGTTTCTGACATACAGAATGGGTGCTATTTTTCTGGCCTTCAGGTAGAATTTTAATTCATGTTCAACATCATATCCCAACCCTTAGAAGCAGGGTGCAGGAAACCAAGACCCATTAGTGAGCCCAAACTGGATCTCCTTGGAATCTCTTCAGCTTTGTTTCTCTTTCTACTAAATCCTACCTAGCGATTCTTGATTTTACCATATAGACTTTACAAATTCACTAAGATCAATCCAACATGCTATTAGTTCTGAAGTTAGGATGGGACACAAATGAAAAAGAGAGTCAGGAAAAAAAAATAGGGTCAAGGATTAAAATGAGAAGCTTGGAAAAGGAAAAAAAAAAATCTAAAGACTCTTTTCTCGTTTTTGACATAATTTCTCCTTTCTAACATTAGAGCTGAGCTGCATCCTGTTTTGACGTTGCTTACTTACTTCCACGATGAAATTTCCGATTTCATCAGGATTGGCAGGACGGGGTCGATACTGGGGCATACTCATAAGGGTTGGTGCCACATCATTGCGAGTCACTTCAGGTCGAGCATCCAGGCCCCTGTGCAACTGGCTCAAGTCAAAGTCCTTTAGAGAAAAGGTAAACGTACACCAAAGGGTAAAATAGGGAGTCCCAATAAACAGTCATATACAGGAGCAGTACACAGTATTTGGTTTACAGATCATGGTTTTGGAGAATGCCTCAACTGTCTATGATATTTAAAAACAAGAGCTTTACTTAACCTGAGATCATAGCTTCAACCTAAGAGTTTATTAAATGGAAGGAAATCTGGTATAAAACATTGTGAGCAGTGCTTATTGGTACAGATAGAGACTATGGTGCCTTATTCACTTTTCATAGGGTGCATGTGCCAGATTAGATTATTGTTCAGCAAATAGTCACTCCCTCTTCACCCTGTGGGATGGATAGATATCCATCAGTGGTACACTTTATCATGTGACTTGCTTTGGTCTTGTAGTAAACGGAGTGTACACGTATTCCCTTCACTTTGGGGGCAGTCACATGACTTACTTTGGCCAATGGGATATCAGACAATACACAGGCAAAGGCTTGAAATGCATTTTACTAGCCTGCTGGTACAAAGAGGATGAGAATTGCATAGAAGAGTCCTGGACCCAACTTGTAGCTTACAACTATCCAGCCAGAACTGTGTAGTCTAGATCAGCTGGTCTCCAGTCAACCTACAGATGCTTATGAGTCTAGCTGAGATTTCAAGTAACCCTAACATAACACAGGAGCTCTGGTAGCACAGTGCCTAAGGCACTTGACTGCTAACCGGAAGGCTGGCGGTTCAAACCCACCAGCCACTCCTCAGAAGGAAGGTTGGGCAATCTACTTCTGTAGTGATACTGCCTCAGAAACCCAAGGAGGGGTTGCTATGAGTCGGGTCTGACTCAACGGCACATAACAACAACAACAACTATGGTGACAGTTTACTGATGCAGTATGTCTGTCATCCCCAATTAGACTTAGAAGCACTTTGAAATCTGAACTACATCTTATATTTCTCTGCACTAACCATACTTTATATACAGCAAGCAATGAAATTCTTATCAATGGCTCTTAAACACATTAGATTCTCTAGGACCTTCAAAAGTTTCCTAGAAAAACTCCAGGATAAGACAAGTTAAGATCATCTCTAAAATCAGGGAAAAATAAAGAAGGTCTAGATATTTAACATCCTTTAGAAAACAGCAAACTAGCTAAGAAACTCAAGGAAAACAAATTATATCAAAAATAACTGGACTGAAGTTCATGTCCCGAAAGGCAAAAAAACAAAACTGATGAGTAGTGTAGGCTCTGAAGCCTGACCACAGGTTCTACTACTTCCTAGCTATGTGTCCCTGAACAAGTTACTTAAATGCTCTGTGCCTCAGTTCACTTATCTAGGTGCAGAGCAACAAGCAATCAATAAATGTTAGCGGTGGTTGTGGTGATGATGATGGTCAATGACAATGTCTATTTCCTTGGGCAAGGCCTTAAAAAAGTAATACATAAGTGGCAAAGAACTATTTCAAATGTCTGATTTTTCCTCGTCACCACTGCTTCCATGTGAAGAGATTTCTATTAAGGTTTTCACTATGCTTCAGAAAACTCACCTGGTCCTCTTCTCCACCTCCTTCTTCATCATAGTAATAAACATTGTCCCGTGTGTCATCTTCTGGGGGCAACAAGGGCTCCTTGACCACTCTTCTCCTCCGAACAAATAGCAGGAGCAGCAGGAGCAGGACTGGAGTCAGGGAGAGAGTGCAAGAGAGCGATGAGCCACGGGAAAGCTCATGAGATCACAGCACACCACTGCCTCTTTAGTCGGCCACTGGCTGCAAGCCACATAATGATGCTCATGTCCCTGAAGTTAATATGTGTAGCAAAACATAACTCAACGCCGTTGAGTTAATTCTGACTGATAGCAACCCTATAGGATGGTAGAACTTTCCAAGGCTGTGAATCTCTACACAGGCAGACTGTTACATCTGCTGACATTTTAATTAGCACCTGAGCACTTTACACGCTGTGCCACCAGGGCTCACTCAATACAACATGTTGTTGTTGTTGTTTGCCGTTGAGTCAGACCCGACTCATAGCAACCCCTCCTTGGGTTTCTGAGGCAGTATCACTACGGAAGTAGATTGCCCAACCTTCCTCCCAAGGAGTGGCTGGTGGGTTGAACCGCCAGCCTTCTGGTTAGCAGTCAAATGCCTTAGCCACTATGCTACCAGAGCTCCCCAATACAACATAGTAGACAATTATATGTAATTTCAAATGTGGCCTTTAACAGGACCTTAAGCCAATCACAATCACTTCCAAAAATGTAGAAACAAGTGTTCCATCACAGGAAATTTTAAGGCCAAAGGCTTGAGGAAGGAGTGTGGTCGGTGTAACTCAGGAAAGGTGAGGAGGCTGAGTAGGCAATGGAGAGAGAAGTGGAAATGAAGTCATAGAGGCAGAAGTGTGGACCACTGGAAGACTACATTTGCCAGACTCTCTTGCAGCTAGATGCATCTGGGTTTGGGCTAGTGCACTATGGATGGAGGTGACATGTGCAACCTTCAGATATGTTCCCTCCATATCCTTCAGATATGTGGAGGTGGTAGTGAACTTTGACCCTGCTGATAATTACAACACCCTAAGGCTTTGCTGCTGCAGTTGTGGTCCACAGACCAGCAATGTCAGCATCACCGGGGAGTTGATTAGAAATGCTAAAATCTGAGGCTCTATTCCAGACCTACTGGATCAGAATTTACATTTTACCAAGAGGCATAGGCAATTTGTATGCACATTCAAACTACGCTGAGGAATAAAACAACAACATGATAGAAGGAACCTGGGTCCTTTGTTAACTTCCTGGAACAAGGTTGCCTTTTCCAGTTTGGACCATTTACCTCCGAACTATTCAGTGAAAAATCAATAAGCTTCCATTTTATTTAAGACATTGTATTCTCGGGGTTTGTTTCTTATAACAGTTTAAATGGTAGCCTAACTACTATAAAGACACAAATTATTTCTAGAAAATAAACCTGGCCTATTGTAGAAGTCAAAGGCAGAAACATATGTTAGCTACACTTACTTAGAAAAGCAAGGATTCCTCCAAGAATCCCCAGAATAGCAGGAACTTGCAATCCTGCTTCAGCAAGTGGCACAGTCTTCTTACAGTTGTTGACGGCCCCTATGCAGTCACACACAAAGACATCTAAGGTAGTCACCTGGTCTTTGTTCTGGTTATCCGTTAGCTTGAGATTTATTTTGTAGTCACCCACCTCTAAAGGAATCTTTGGCTTCAAAAGGATAGATTCTCGAGCTAGAAGGCAAAAAATATATAAAAGATGGAACCAGGGAAGAAAAAAATCCATCATAGAACAAACTTATGGAACTAGAAACATCCCGAAGGTAAGTAAAAAAAAAAAAAAAGCAAAAGCAGCTTGGGTTTTAGATTTCTAAGTAGCACATCACAAAATCAGATACCAAGAAAGGAAAGGGATCTTCGCTGGAATGCCTCAAATGTCAAGGGAAAAGGAAACAAATGTCAAACAAAAGGAGTGACATCTGGGAAATTCAGAAATAGTGGGAAAGGGAAAGCATGGGAGTCAGAGAAAAGCATTTACCTGCATCTTTATACTCAATGGACCAGTTGACACTTGCCCCATGTGTTAATTCTGCTGTGAAGGGAGAAGTATTGGGGGGAAGATCTGGATCAATGATGTTTATGGTATGAGACTGTGGATCCTTCTGACAGAAGTCCATAGTTCGAGGGTCTGGTACAGGGCCATTGTCATTCACATCAGAGAGAGTCAGAAGAAGGGTTCCTGTGCCCGTAGCAAGTGGAGAACCTAAGAGAAAAATATAAAAGAAATAATACAACTAAGGAACATTAATGAACACCACTGCCTCCCATCAATTTAAACCTGATCTTATCCTGGCTTTTGAACCATCTATCAAGGACCACATCCAGGACCCAATCCATCCATGGAGCCTCCTGACCCACTAATCCCTAGTTATCTTCACTCCTGTTTGGGCAGGTCTCTGACTGTCTTGTGGTGTTGTTGTTGATAGATGCCATTGAGTTGGTTCTGACTAACAGCAACCCTACACACAACAGAATAAAGCATTGCCCAGTCCTGCACCATCCTCACAAATTATTGTTGTATTTGAGCCCATTGTTGCAGCCACTGTGTCAATTCATTTCATTGAGGGTCTTCCTCCTTTTTATTGACCCATTACCAAGAGTGATGTCCTTCTCTAGGGTTACGTCCCCACTGATAACATGTCCAAAGCATGTGAGACCAAGTCTCACGATCTTTGCTTCTAAGGAATATTCTGGCTGTACCTTTCCTGAGACAGATTTGTTTGTTCTTCTGGCAGTTCATGGTGTACTCAACATTCTTTGCCAAACCCATAATTCAAAGACATCAGTTCTTCTTTGGTGTTCCTTACTCATTGTCCAGCTTTCATATGCATATGAGCCATGTAAAAATACCATTTTCACATGCATGTGAGGCTTGGGTCATATCTTAGGTAGCCATGATTATTCCCACACTGATAATAGTTATTCAAGTTATTCTTCACACCAAGAACACCCTTTTTCTTCTTCTCCTAACTCCTACCCATCCATTAAATTTTAACTACTCTAAGAGGCTCATACCACTTCTCCCTTTTCTGAATTTCTATGACATTTAAGGTCATTATCAAAGGGTAGAGCCTTTTTAAATGGATGCAAATTGTTTTTCAAAGTAGATTTGGAAGTTCATATACATTTCTGTTTGCATTTCTTTCACATCTCAATACAGCACCTAACACATGGCAGTAGAAAAAGTACTCAAGGAGCATCTTTATTGATATTAATATATTATGGGGAAGAAAAGATAAAGAAGGGTTTATCTCAACAACTGAAAAATATGTGCATGGTTACATAGGTGGATAAATATGTTTGAAGCACAAAAATTCACTGCCATTGAGTCGATAGGACAGAGCAGACTGCCTCATCTTTCTCCCATGGAGTGGCTGGTAGGTTTGAATGGCTGATCTTTTGGTTAGCAGCCCAATGCTTTAACCCCAGTGCCACCAGAGCTCCTTCTCGATATGTATAGGTAAGCACGTAAGAATATGCAGGTAAACATATATAGGTGTTTCTCTAGGCAAATATATATACACATTTGTGTATGCCGCATATATACTCACTCATAAAATGAAACACATAGGGGGCACAGTTATGGATACTTCATAGACATAACAAAATACCTCATAGGATAGGGTTACAGGGTTTGAGGGCTTAGAACCAGTCTCAGGGGTCAACTCAGTCAATTGGCCTAACAGCTCATAAAAATAATGTTCTACATCCTAATTTGGGATATAGTGTCTAGTGTCTTAAAAGCTTGTGAGCAACCATTTAAGATACAACTATTGGTCTCTACACGTCCAAAGCAAAAGAGAATGAAGGAAATCAAAGACTCAAAGAAAAAACTCGTCTACAGGACTAATACTCTACATGAATCACAGTCTCATCTATCTTGAGACCAGAAGAACTAGATGGTGCCAGCTACCACTAACAACTGTTTGACCAGGGACACAATAAATGATTCTGGATAGAATGGGAGAAAAATGTAGAACAAAAGTCAAATTCCTAAAAAAGTCCACACTTAGAGGATGAGTAGAGACTAGAGGAACCTTCAAGATTATATACTATGACTCAAGGGCGCATGGTCCCCAATCATACCCCAACTACTATGTAACCAGATAATTAAAACCCCAGAACCAATCTTCTAACGTTTTTTAAACCTGCAATTATATATGTATCTCGATCACAGTCCTTTCTCTGCTTCTGTTACACTTTTCACAATGTGTCAGTATTCTCATTATTTCCATTCCAGTTGTTCTGTTTACATTAATCTAGCTTCATTGCCCCTGTCCCTTACCTTCTCATATTTGGTCTAGGGTAAATGCTGACCTTTAGGTCTCATTTAGATGATAGGTGGTTCACGGCTATCACTACTGACTGCTCTGACCAAGGACACTGCAGAAGGTCCTGGTTACAACGGCAGAAAAATGTAGAACAAAACTCAAATTCATAAAAAAGAGACTGGAATTCATAGACTCATACAGACTAGAGGAACCCCTCAGATTATCACCTTAAAACACCCTTTTAACCCAGAATTGAAACCATTCCGAGAGGTCACCTTTCAGCTAAATAACAAGCTGGCCTATAAAATAAAAATACCATCTGTGAGGAATGTACTCCTTAAAACAGTCAACTATTAGAGGCAAGGAGGGACAGGAAAGCTAGAAGAGTGGAAATGGGAAAGTGCAGACACATTGCGGGGATAGAAACCAATGTCACAGAAAAAACTGTATTAATTATCAAACGGGAAACTAATTTGCTGTGTAAACGTTCACCTAAAAACACAATAAAATGCTAAAAAAAAAAAAAAAGAGAGAGAGAGAGAAACAGACTGGAAGAATCCACACCTCACTAGTAATGATGACAATGAAAACAATAATACTTATACAGCAATGTTATATGTAAAAGACATTACTCCTGGAACTTTAATATTAATTAACTCATTTAAATCCAGATGAGGCATCATCTTCACCCCCATTTGTCTGATCAAGGGATTGAAGGACATAAAAATTAAGTAATAGAGGTCACACAAGTATATTAAGCTTGGACCTGGAATATAAACCCAGGCAGCCTGGATTCCATGGGGGAGGAATGGGGCTTAGGCATAGAGAGAGAGTGGTTAAGAGGAACTTCTGCTTGACCCATATTTTAGACAGTGAGAATGCAGCTGTGTGTCTTTTTGTTTAATCAAAAACAAAGGAAAAACAATGAACTCATGCCTCCAGAAGGAAGGCGGGAGCAGGGAAGCCAACTAGTCAGGGGAATGAGGCAGCAAAGGCCAAACAGGGCCTCCTTACCATCATCAATAGCTATAATGAGGGCCGTGTATGTGCTGTCCTTCACATGCTCAGAGTCCTCTCTGTCCAGCTCGGCCCGAGTGGAAATGGTCCCAGTGTCTGGATCAATCTCTAGCCAGTTGGCAGTGTCCCTCCAAATCCGATACCTGAAAAGGCAAAACAGTGGCTCATAATAGGAACAGCAAACAGCACATACCTGGAAAACACTATGGTTCCTCTTCATTTATGTATCCATTTTCAACTGTTTATACTGAAAAAGATCAAAGCTACAAAAAACTTGCTAGAATAGCATGCTGACCACCCACGTACCCTTCATCTGGATTCACTTATTAACATTCTGTCCAATCTGCTTTCTCTGTAGAGACCAACATACATAATTTCTTGTACTAAAGAGTCATTTAGGAGCTCTGGTGGCATATTGCCTAAGGCACTTGACTGTTAACCAGAAGGCTGGTGGTTCAAACCCACCAGCCACTCCTCAGAAGGAAGGTTGGGCAATCTACTTCCGTAGTGATACCCTCTCGGAAACCCAAGGAGGGGTCACTATGAGTCGGGTCCAACTCGACGGTACATAACTACAGCAACAACAATTAATAGTAATTGCTTTCAATAAGTTGTATACTTGTAAAAAGCAGAATTGGCAAAATTTGTGTAATAGATATATTTAAAATGATGACCAAAAAAAATGAGTAGCTGCTGAGGTTGCTAATGTACAACCAAATACCTCATGGGATTTGGCTCCTTGGTTTGGAGGTTTGGGCCATCCAAACATGGAACATCCCAGTTAATTGGCCTAGTTCATTGTGTAGCGTGTCTAGGGTCTCAATAGCTTTCAAGTGGCCATCCAGGGCACAACAATGGTCTTTATTCACCTGGAGCCACAGAGGAAGGAGAGTCAGGAGTAGGTGGAGAATATGGAATGTACAGTTAATTGTACCAATGAACAACGGCTTCCTTTGCCATTAAACCAGAACTAGATGGTGCCTGGCTATCATTACTGAACCTTCGGAATTAAAGATTCCATAGAAAAATCCTGATCATAAGGGTGAAATGTGAACAGAATTTTAAATTCTCATGGACTCTAGACTTTCTAGAGCCATGCAGGGTGGACAAACCCCTGGAACTACTGCCCTGAAATCATCTTTAAACCTTAAACCAAAAATATCCCTTGAAGTCATTCCCCCCCACACACACACAGTTATGGGGTTTATTAGGGAAGTAACAGATTACAACTCAGGTTCAGGAATGCTCAGGATATAGTTCTTCAATCAGGACAGTCTCTTCTCAGTCATGTGAAAGGCAAGCCTCTTTCTGGGCCCTTGGCTCCTTGGCCAAGGGCCCCATGGGCCTCTTGGGCCAGCCCTGAAGTCATGTCAGAACTAAACAATAGTTTAATTTAACTAGCCAAAAAGGTCTGCTATTATGCTCTTTTAAGAACTGTCTATATAGGATCAAATCAACAACAGCAATTTGAAAAATTAGATAGGAACGTCAGGGGACAGTGACTTTATGTTAATGGAGGAAGAATAACTCAGAAACGGAGAGTGAGAATGGTTACACAACTTGGCAAATGTAATCAATGCCGCTAAACTGTACATGTAGAAACTATGGAATTGGTGTACATTTCACTGTGTATAGTATCAATTTAGAAGGAGAAAAAAGAAGAAATAGTCGCTAAGGGTATAGAAAACCTTCACTTACGTTATCTTCTGTTCCATAAACCTGTCTGGATCCTGCGCAGTATAAGATGTGATTTCCTGGCCTACACCAAAGTCTTCAGGCACTTCTACGGTCTTGACAGGAGGCATAAAGATGGGGGCTTCATTCACATCCAGCACGTCCACAGTCACCGTGGCTGTTGAGGTGGAAAGACTGACCACAAAGGGGGCCACATTCTCTACCGCCACATACAGAACGTACTGCTGCTTGGTTTCAAAATCTAAGCCCTAGAAAACAGAAAAAATGAGGTGGAAAACTATTACTTTTCATTGGTGAGTTGGTTAATTTTTTATCCCAACTTGGCTACATCATAACATATATGGCAAACATTAGTCTAGATGCTGCTATGAAGGTATTTAAATGTGATTAGCATTTATAATCCGTTGACTTTTAAGTAAAGTGGATTACATTCCATAATATGGTTGGATTTCATTCAATCAGTTGAAGGTCTTACTAGCAAAACCTAAGGTTTTCAAAAGAGAGGAGGATATCACCAAGAATAACATAGATATCTTGCTGGAGTTTCCAGCCTTCCTGGCCTACACATTTGGAACTTGTGCACTCCCACAACCATATATGTCAATTCTTTAAAATAAATATGTATATGTGTTTGTTTATATCCTGTGGTTCTGTTTTTCTGAAGAATCCTAATATAGTTGAGAATATATCAGTAGATCTCAAATCTGGCTGTACTAACAAGAATTAACTTGGGAACTTTTAAAGAATACCAACACCTACCTAGGCCCTAACCCTGTTGTTTTTTGATAGCACAAGTTTCACCTTCCATGGGAGAAACCTGCATTCAATTCCCAGCCAATGTACTTTAAACACAGTCATCAGTCATTTGTCATTGGAGGCTTGAATGTTGTTATGATGCTGTATGTGTTTTACCGGAGCTTCTGACCAATTGAGACTAGGAAGAAAGACCTGGTGATTTATTTCCCAAAAAACAGCCAATGAAAACCCTGTGATCACAATGCTTCAATTCTGTTGTGCATGGGGTCACCTTGAGTCTGGGATTGACTTATCTATCAGCAGCTAAGAACAGGTCTATTAAATAAGAATCTCTGTGGGTGGGGCCTAAGCATTTGTGTTTTTGGAAAGCTAGCAATGACTAATATTAGAATTGAGAACCAAGAGGAATAAAGTACTACTATATGTGAAATAAAGGAGGTGGCATAGTGGTTAAGACATTTGACTGTCAACCAAAATGTCAGCGGTTCGAATCCACCAGCTGCTCTATGGGAGAAACATGATGCAGTCTATTTCTGTAAAAATTTACAACCTTGGAAACCCTATGGGGTACTTCTACTCTGCCCTAAATGGTTACTATGAGTCAGAATCAATTAGATGGTAGGGTGGATATTTGTGAAATACCAAACTCTAAAACTTAGTTAACAAACATGAGCACATTAAGTCATTTATATCAAAAACTGATAAGAATGTCCACATCACGGATTTCCAACAGCAAGTGGACAGAAGACTCTTGTCACCCTGACTAGGTTTGATGCCAAGAGCACGAGCTTGAGAATCAGTCAACAAACCCTAGGTGGGCCACTTCCTAGCTATGGAATTTAGGCAACTTAATCTGTGGGCCTATTTCCATGACAAAATAAATAGAAAAAAGAGTTATATTAGATTGGTATAGGATTAAACCAGAACTTTTACGAAGCACCTTGCATACAGTAGGAACTCAAATTATTAGCTTCTCTCTCTATTGATAATCAGAATAATAGCAGAAAATGTTAACATCAAATGTTAAAGTATTCTCTTTAGTTAATTCAAGGAGCTCTAGTGGCACAATGGGCAAGGCATTTGGCTACTAACCAGAAGGTCAGTGGCTCAAAATCATCAGCTGCTCTATAGAAAGAAGATGAGGCAATCTACTCCCATAAATATTTACCCTCTTGGAAACCCTACAAGGGTTGCTATGAATTGGTATCGACTCAAGGACAATGGATTCTCTGGTTGGTTAACTCAGCAATGAAAGGTCTGGTCATTTGTTCAAAAGGGAACCAAAGTTTTGGGGAAAACCCAGAATGTGTTAAGAGTTTAATTAATGACGTCAAAAAACAACTTGCCCAACTTCTGTGTTTTCAACTTTCCAAATAATCTTTCAAAAGCAGTCATATTTGCCCCTCTTTTAACACAATGCAGTAAAATACCACAGACCATTAAAGCATCTTTCCTCTCATTTGCAAAGTGGTGAACGGGGAATACGCAAATGCTGCTGGGAAAGAAGCAATTAAAACTGGTGCTTCCTCTTCAATCTTAGGATGCTGTGTAACAGCTTCCTTATTTCTTACATGAACATTCAGAATCACTGCAAGCCCCACATGGTCCACCAGAATCTAGGAAAGCCATTCCCCTTCCCCTGATACCAATGTACTTCTAAGGACACACCAGGGAACATGAGAGCGGGCAACTAGCCAGACTGTCCATTTCTGCCTCTTTCCAGGTACCATACAAACCTTAGTTGTTTTCAAAATGCCTTCATTTGTTACTGGATCTGTGATGACAACAAATTGCTTCTCATTATCATTCAATACGTAGTACTTGGCCTCCCATGCTGGGGTATTGGGGACGTCAGCATCAGTCACTTTGAGGTTGGTGATTGTGGCATTGGCCTCATTCTCAAGAACCTTACCCTCGTACTGCAAAGCAAAGGAGGGAATGGGGGTCATTTATGACATACCGAGACCCAAAAGTACAACCAGGTCTTAGGTGCCTAAAGGAATCCTTCCTTATTCCAAGCCTTGAGTAGAAGAGGTAACAGGGAAAGGTCAGGCAACGGGAACAAAGTCTTGCAGAAAGTGCTCACTCTACCAACAGGTCCTCATTTCCTGTTGGTGAAGAGCTATTGATGACAGTGGTGTCATCCACCAGGACTACATGACATAGCTTGCCAAAGCCCCAGCTGTCTGGACCCCACAGCACACTAACATTGCTAACTGTCAAGTGCAAGGCACTGGTGTACCCTCACCTGCCCCAGCAAACCATTCTCTATCAGCAGCAAGAGTGATCTTCGTAAAATGAAAGTCTGGTCATCTCAATCCTCTGCTTAAGAACCTTTGATGGTTTGTTTCCCCCTTGCTCACAGGATTAAGTTTAAATTGTTCCCACAGCCTTCAAGATTCTGTAGGACCTGGTCTCATTCAGTTCATTACAATCTAGTGATGCTGTTTTTTAGTTCTTGTGCAAAAACTTCCTCCTGATTCAGGATATTTTGCACATGCTGGTCCCTCTGGCTAGAACATTCTTCCACCTTCCCCTTTCCCAGCTTTGCCTGACTGCCTTTAAGTCTGAGTGTAAATGTCATTCATTGTTTTGGGAAACATTCTGCCACTGGAATTGATGAGGGTAGGGTGGCAGACACCAATAACTGCCTACTGAATATCCATTCCCCTCTTCATCACCTAATATACTGTTGGTGACAACAGTGTGCCCAGCTAAAATACTACATTCCCAAGTCTTCCTGGCAGACAACAATGTCAATGAGATGTAAGTGAAACTTATAGGATGGGTCTCCGCAGAAATGTCCTTACTAAGAGGATCCAACTCAGTGGCTATGGCTTTTGTCCCTTGCCTCCTTCCTGCATGAAGCACAGACATAATGACTGGAACTCCAGCAGCCATCTTGGACTATATATCCTACATATCTTGAGGATGGAAGCCATGTGCTAAGGATGGTGGAAGAGCAAGACAAAGGAGTCTTAATCTCTATTGACAGGAGTCAACTGTCTACCTCTGAGCTTTCTGTTACATAAAAGAAAAAGAAAAAACCAAACCAACAACAACAAAAAAACTCTGTTTGTTTAAATGACAATAATCAGATCTTTGTTACTAATCATTAAGCCAATATCTAGCCAATACAATAAGGTTTAAGGTTCCTCTATGTGGCGCTCAGTACCTTTGATTGCATTTAATATAACTGAAATTCAATAATTTGTGTAAATTACCTAACATTGCTCTAGCTAGACTCTAAGTTCCATGAAAATAGAATCTTTGCCTTGTTGATTACACCTCCATATCTAGCACAGTGCCTAGTATAAACTTGGGTGGTATCAGTTCAAAAATAAATGAAATGCTAAGATTTGCTACCAAGATGCACAATATGAGGACATGGATTCAAATGGGTACTATTTGAAACTTCACAAACCTGTTTCAATGGGCCCCAGGCCAAGGATAAAGCAAAATGCTCAAAGACAATCACCCACCAACCTGTTATGCTTGCTTTTAAGTATAAAGTTAACATTCAATAGTTCACCCATGAGCAGTTGGGGAACTTATTTCATGAACAAAGAAGGACACATTTTTGGAAACCATAAGAAACACTGTAGAATTACCATGGTTGGGTTGAAGATGGGAGGGTTGTCGTTGGTGTCAGTGACGGTGATCATGGCTGTTGCTGTTGTACTTAAGCCAAAACCTTGAAGGTCAGTAGCTTTGACCACCAGGGTATACTTGGGAACACTCTGCAGATCAAACACATCCAAGTCAGGACCAACAGGTACCTCAGGGCAGCCCAACCCATAGAAACAGTATTTCATCATCTGCTTAAATGCCATCCATCTGCCTTCCGGGCACAGAACCTCTGAATGGATGTTTAGATTCAAAGCTCAGGACAACTAGTCTTATTTGATAAGCTCAGATCATCACCAAATTAACTGGCAACTGGCCTCAGCAGAGCTTTTCATTGTCCGTGGGATTTGGCTAATATATATTTGCCCTCAGCACCCTCTGGATCCTCCTGACCCCTGACCTCTCGATCCAGCCCAGTGGTGACCACACCGATGACTCCCGTGTCTCGGTTGATAGTAAACATGTTGTCATGAGGCAATGTAGGCTCTTGGCTTTCAATGGTATAAACAATGGCAGCGTTGTAGGTGTTGACATCGTCATCGGCATCGGTGGCTGTGACCTGCATCACCGAGGTTCCTGGAAGCATCAAAGGAGAGAAAGACTTAGTCGAGCTGAGCTTTGGGGTCTGATCCATACTGCTCCCCATAATCTGTCCCAAGTGATAGAGGGCTCTGGGGATGGTACAATGTCTTACTTTTCCATTCTCTGATTTCTAAAATTCTTACCACAGTGCTAAGGGAGGGAGAAAGTATTCTGTTAAATAAGCCATGTTCCTAAACTCAATTTTTCCAACAAACTTTATGTAGGGTAGAGGTAAGGAGGAGTATAGGAGTATAGGTCTCTTATACTAAGTGAATAGAATGTAAAATAGAAAACTTCCAGAATTTTCCAAGATTGCTTTCTCACAGTTTCACTGGAGAGAATAGTTGTTTGAAATCATTGTTTTCAAGATAGATGAAAATATTTATAACACATATAACTGACAAAGGACCCAAAACCTCTAAATAACTCTTAAGAACCAAAAGGGAAAAAAAGGGAAAGGAACATACATATCATAAAGAAGAAACCCCAAATGGCCACTAAGCATCAGAGAAAAGTAAATCTGAAATTTCTACTACACTCACCAGATTGGTAAAAGCTGAAGAGCCTAACAATCCCAGGCTGTCAAGCAAGAGAATGCCGTTATACTGCTGGTGGGAATATAGAGTGGTTCAGCCACCTTGGAAGGTAGTTCGGTACCATCTATCAGTAAAGGTGAACATACAGATAACCTACAACTGAGCAATCATACCTAGCTAGGATACCCTGCTGCACCCCTTCACATCTGCAGCAGGAGACATATTCAAGAATGTTCGTGGAGTACTGTCCATAATAAAAAGAAACCAAAATAGCTGTAATTTCCATCCACAGTGGAAGGGATAAATTGCTTTTGTATAAATATCTTCAAATGGTTTTCTATGAAAACACATTTTATACTACATGATAATGAAAAGGAATGACCTATACATAAAAATTGAATGAAAGAATTCACAGAAATATTAGTATGAGTCCATGTACATCAAGTTTGAAAATAAGACAAATTAACAAGATAGTATCTAGTGGTAAATGCAGACATGGTAAAAAATAAAGAAAAGAGAGGAAATGATTACCACTAAAGTCACGGCAGTAGTTACCTTTTCAGAAGAATGTGATCAGTGGGAGCTATTTATAAGGATCTGCCTCTTAATCAGGGAAGGTTGACTGTAAACTATTCCTATTCTATACATGCTTCTGTAGGTAGGATATCAAATACACACACACACACACACACACATGTGCATACACGTGGACACATTCTGTGACTTCCAAAGTAAGTCTGTCCATATAAAGAGCCAACTTCAGCGACCTGACCTCAATGTACAGACCCACCACTTTTTTTCTGGGCTTTCAGCTCATTATTGGGAATACCTGGGAGAGCGCCTTCCATGACAAACCCTTCAAAGACTTGCTGAGTGAATATGGGCTTATTGTCATTCTGATCTGTCACCGTAATCACAATTTCCATCGGGTCTTCGACTGCCTCTCCGTTTGAAGACACAGCATGAGACAAGAGCTGCAAGAACCAAGGGAGAGTTACTTACTTCAGCCCTGATGAGGAAGAAGAGGCGGGAAGAAGGGATCTGACCAGAACAGAGTGGGAGCCCAGAACGCCTGGTCTCCACTCCTGCCAGACAACTTTTCTCACATGTGTGCTGCTGCTTTCAGGAGACTGTGACATTGGTTGATATGAGTTAGATAACCTCCAGGTCAGAGCTCCCATTTCTCCCATGAGGGCTACGGAGTCAAGTCCAAGAAATAAAGGTGAAAGTCTAAGAAATTTTGATTTCTTCCAGCTGGGAAAAATTTGATGTCTGGCTACTCCACTGTAGTGTTTCCCCTAGATTTTTCTTATTTGTCATCAATAAGCTTCCCCAAACTCATGCTACTACCAAGTCCTAGAAATGGTTTTTGTTCCCCAGTGCCAACTCTGAGCTCTTCCTTTGGGTCAGAGACTTCCACTCCCATAAACAGACCAACATCTTTGATCTAAACTGCATTCATTCATATACGTGACACACAAGGCTTCTCTTTCCCTTTTCTACTAATAAGGAAAAAGATTAAGAACCCCAAAATGTCTGAGGTTCTCCTGTAATTGTGCCTTATCAACAGGTCAGGAAAAGTCAAATTAAGTTCTTCACAGGTCTAGAGCATCTGATCTAGGAATCCAACATGAACAGACCAAAAGTTCTTGGAAAAATCAAAGAACACTTCTTTGGAGGCTGCTACCTTGTCATTAGGAGCTCTGGTAGCATAGTGGCTAAAGCACTTGACTGCTAACCAGAAGGCTGGCGGTTCAAACCCACCAGCCACTCCTCGGAAGGAAGGTTGGGCAATCCTACTTCTGTAGTAATACTGCCTCGGAAACCCAAGGAGGGGTCGCTATGAGTCAGGGTCGACTCGACGGCACATAACAACAACAACAACCACCTTGTCATTAATAAGCCTCTAAGATACACTCACAGTGTAATTGGAAATTTCTTCTCTATCCAGAGGCTGTGTCACCATCAACCATCCTGTTTTTCTCTCAATGATAAACACACCCACAGGAGGTCTGTCAGCCCCTTCTCCAGTGATGCTGTAGAACACCTCAATTTCTTTGTCCCTGCTGGATTTGATCTGAAGACAAGACAGAAAGAAACGGAATCAGCGAGGAGGGATCCTGACATCGGGTCTTTATCGCCTCGATTCTTCTTAGCCAAATTTCCCCCAGAGAAATAGAGAACTCCTTTCCCTACCCGAACAAGGTTTTTAGGAAATGGACCCTTTTCATTCTCTGGGCAGCTGATGGGAGGGATGACCCAGTCTCTCTTCTGTCTCCGGAGACCCCCATGATGGAAGTCAGGAAACTTGAGCACTTCTGTCTGAGGTCCAGAGGGAGAGTCCTAAAACGAAAGGTGATGAAGAGCAAAATGAGATTATTCAGGAGAGATACTGCAGGCCCAACAGTCCAGCTTATAAAGGCAGTGTATGGTTTGAACTTAATAATGTAGTCTCTTGACAATGAAAAATTATGTATACTCTCCAAAATGAATAGCAAAAACAAATTAACTTCTTTGCCATTTTTCTTTTTATCCTTCTTAGGGTCCAGAATATTCTTCAAGTAATCATTATGCATATACAATTACAGGTCTAGGGATTGTTATTATTTTAAAAGCTATTTCAAGTCTACATATCACACTTGTCATTTTCTTTTTAACTTTTTTTTTTTTTTAATTGTGATTTGGGTAAAAGTTTACAGAGGAAATTCACTTTCTATACAGCAGCTCACATACACTTTATCTCATGACATTGACTACAATTTACTATAATGCAACAGCTCCCCTCCCACTGCCTCTCCATAGTTACCTCTTCTCTGTGTCCTTCCGTTCCACGCACTCCTACCGCCCCCCCCCCCAGCTCTCTCCCTGTGCATACACAGCTCTTCTACTCTTTCATGATTGATCTCGCCAAAGAGTGTATCTACTTAACGTAAATGTTCAGCTCATATACCTGTCTTTTGTTTGGCTGGAAGCCACAAGTATGGGTTCAATTCCAGACCTGAAGGGCAACTAGGGGCCATAGTCTCAGTGGTTCCATCAGGCTCTGTGAGACCAGCAAACCTAGTCCCGCCCCCCAAATGATTTTGAGTTTTGTTTCACATTATTCTCCCACTCTGTCCAAGATCTCCTGCACTGATCCCCCTCGGAGTGTTCGACAGTGGTAGCTGGGCACCATCTAGTTCTTCTGTTCTCATAGTCATATAGGCTGAAGCTTGCATGGTGTACCAGTTTGCTTGGACTAATAGTTTCCATGTGTCTTTGGTTTTCCACATTTGTCATTTTTAATAACGACATTATACTTGGATGATTTAATATCAGTTTATTTAACAACTAGATATTTATTATGTTTGAATTTTCCCCCTTTTTATGTTTTTCCTAGGGTTATAGTCCTCAAAGTGGAGTTATCAATAAAAATGAGTGAGTAGGAGCTCTGGTAGCATAGTGCCTAAAGCACTTGACTGCTGACCAGAAGGCTGGCGGTTCAAACCCACCAGCCACTCCTCGGAAGGAGGATGGGGACAATCTACTTCCATAGTGATACTGCCTTGGAAACCCAAGGAGGGGCCGCTATGAGTCGGGTCCGACTCCACGGCACATAACAACAACAACAACATGGGGAATTGATACAAAGAACTAGTTTGCAATAAAAAAAAAATTTGTTCATCTCATTGTGTCATTATGTCTATATGGTTTCCATTTGTTTTAACAGAAGCTATTGGGATTAAGGGGGAAAAAAAAATACCCTCTGAGACTTGTATTGAACAGTTTTCATGCACAATAAAGATAACTCTGCACACTCAGGGAAATAAGATAGTGCAAGACGAAAGGAAAATATCTTCTAAATTGTTTAAATGTTTTAAAGTGATTAGTGGTAGCACAGTAAATGTTCCAGAGGATATAATTTCATCTCCCATCCTCCACAGATAGATTCCTCCCTCATAGTCACTGATCACTGTTTGCCAAGTTCAGTTAAAGCCCAATTTCCTGGCTTTTTAAAATTTGACTCAGGATATACAAGAGATGGGAAGTGATTAGACATAATCACTAGAGAACCCTTCCCTAATTCTGCATAAATGTTACCCACATACTCCTTCACACACTGCCCTATGTACCCTTGTGTTGGTCTTCTAGAGAGACAGCCCAGTCTGGGTCAAGGGCAGGCTCTGGAACCAGACTGCCTGCTCTGAATCCTTACTGTGGCACCTCCACATTCTGGACAATGTCTACAATGGTGATAACGTTAGTACATCCTTTCCAGAAAGGGAGCTCTGGTGGCGTAGTGGATAAGGCATTTGACTGCTAACCAGACAGTCAGCAGTTCAAACTCACCAGCCACTACACAGAAAGAAGATGGAGCAGTCTACTTTCATAAAGATTTACAGCCTCGGAAACTCAATGAGGGTCACTATGAGTCAGAATCAACTCTGTGGCAGTGAATTTGGTTTAGTTTTGTCTCTTATAGACTTCTCAAAAGGATGAAATGAGATGCTGGTATTGCAAAAAAAGTAGAACAGTGCCTGGCACACAGTAGACATTCAATAAATGATAATGAAGATGATGGTTGGATTGGTTGGGAAACAAAGTTATACTTTTAATGAAGTCAAAATTTGAGTTTGAGCACAGAACAGGAATAAAGTATTAAAATGCCCATCAATACTGTACCCTGAGCCTTAAAATGACCATCTTTGCACACCTATGCTGTGCAAATCCTCCATCTTGAAAAGGAAGACAAACAACATGCCCTGATGGCTGTAGAATTGTAGAACATTTTCAGAGAATGATAATAACGATGAACACTGTGCTAGCAAGACATAACATTAACATTTCCGCATGTGATATTAAAGGGAATCATGCCTAAATATACTAAACCTGAATTCCCTCAGAAAAATAGGATAGCAGAGCGGCCAAACCAAGTGAAAGAACCACTGGGTCTCAACCAGAAGTGATTTTGCCCCCAGGAGATATGTGGAAAGTATGTGAAGATATTTTTGGTTGTTACAGCTGGGGAATGTGCGACTAGCACAATGTGCCAGGTGCTACTGGGTGGACAGATGTCAAAGTTAGATCTAGTTAGATCTAGTCTCAGATGAATTAAAAGACAGGTTAGTTTATTGATCTTCCTTCTGATGCAGGACTACTTGGCTCCCCAAAGGTCCTTTGAACGAGAAATGAACCAAGGTGAAACTTGCAACCAGGTGTAGCAGAATCTGCCACCTTCCACTCAATAGCCATCCTTCCTTTCATAAAAGACTAGCTTTAAAAAAATCATGTGCGTGTTATCTCAATTTTGTATTCAGCAGTGTACCCAAGGTAAAAATCACATTTCCAATACTCCCTTGCAGCTAGGTGTGGCTACATGACTAGGTTTTCTGGCCAATGAGATATAAAAAGAAGTATTAATTGAACTTCCACAAAGGCTTCTTGTACAACAGACAAATAAGCAAAACTTTTTTGTGCTTTTCCCCTTTCTCCTTCCAGCTATTTTGGATCAAGAGGTATCCTTGAGGATGGAAGCCATGTGCTGAGGATGGCAGAGCAGACAGGAAAAGAAGGAGGCTAAGTTCCTGATAATTGTGGAGGCTCGCTACTGGCTACAGGCAACTGATTACCCTTGGACATCCATAACTTGAAAGAGGAATACTCTGTTTAGCTTAAACAACCATAATTTGGGGTTTTTTGTAATATCTGCTTGAACCTAATCTGAACACTGTAGACATGGAGGCAAAATTGGAAGAGGTGGGGAGGAAAAGTTGAACAATCAAGGTCAAAGCTTTCTCTTGGCCATGAAAGGCTGTTGCTCAACAAGAACTCACTGTGTTGAACTCCTCACATGAACGAAAGGGACAACTGGAGACTTGAGTCAGGGAGCTATGTTAATATAGCTCTAATAAATTCCTCCTTATTTTTCTGCTCTATCCATTTACCTCAGGGAAAATTAGATTAATCAGGAGGACTATTAAGTTCCTAGAATCTCAAGAGTCTTTGGGGAGAAAAACAGGAGCCAGTCTGAAAGGCCTTTGGCACTTACAACACATCCCACACTTTCAAGGCAGTAAACAGAATACAACTAGAATGGCCCCCCAGAGAGCTATTTTGGTATGAAGCGCCAGTGAAGGAAGATGCCTTTTACCCATGGGAGGAGTTTAGAAACTGCTAGAGGCATTTAGCTTTGGTTAACGACCCCCAGAAACATTCTTGCCTAGAACCTAGGCAGACTTGCATCCTCCCATTCCTGGTCAATCCAATCCATCCACCCATCCATTCAGTATTTACTGGGATCCTGCTACATCCCAGCCCTAAGCCCCGCCACTGCAAACACAGTGGAAAGAGTCCAAAGCAAAAGCTTCCTGCTAGTTTCCCCTCTTCTTTGCTAAGACCCCCCCCCCACACACACACACACAAGAAACACAAAGAGCAAAATGATCAGAGAATCGACCTGTCATGTGTTCTCCCTCCAGCAGGAGAAGAACAGCTAACCGTTACTGAACACTTCACATGCGTTCAGTTCTAGTACAGTTTCTAAGCATTTTAAGATGCATCATTTTACCTGGTCTTTATTGTCATCTCGATTTTACAGATGAGGAAACTGAAGCATAGATAGCTCAAGTGACTTGCCTCTCATGGTAAACAGCAGGGTTGGAAGTCACACAATTACCCATCACTCTTACACAGCCTGCAGATATAAGGGTAATGATACCTTGCCATCATCCCATTACTACCACCAAAAATAAATAAATACTTAACAACAAGAATTGGTTTAGTTAGACTCATGGTCCCCAAATGGCAGCACTTTGGCCCTCCAAGGGACATTTGGAAATTATATGGAGATTTTTCTTTTTTTTTTTTGTCACAATAGGTGGAAGTACTACTGGCATCTAGTAGAGGCAATGGATGCTGCTAGATATTCTACAGTGCATAGGACCTCCTTCCCAGCCCCCATACACAATAAAGGATTATCTGGCCCAAATTATCAATAGTACCAGGGTTGAGGAACTCTGATTAGAGGGTACACTAAAATAATAGTGAAGTTCCAAGAAACATTCAAACATACATGATGCTGGTGGTGGTGGTGGTGGTGGTGCCCAATAGTCTTCAGTGTCACTTTGGTGGAAAGCTTTCTGCCACTGGAGTCCCAGGCATGGACAAGAAAGCTGGTCTCTGGATTATGAAGCTGTAGAGGTCGTCTAACAATAACCACACCATCAGTGGCCACTCTGAATCGGGTGTCGTCGGACAAATAGGCTGTCTTTGGTCGACCAGTGCATCCTTCAAAACTCACTGCAGGATAAAAATCAGACTTATTAGGAAATTGGGGAAATTAAAGATAAGAGCATTCTTCCTCCAAAAAAGAAACTTGATTCATGCATCAAAACTCTAACTCACTTAAAACAAACACAAGGAAAACAATCCAAAACCTGGTGACAGAACTGCAAATATTTCAAAAAGGGTCGATGTCATCATTACGTTCTTCACAATTCAGAGGCTGATGGGTAATCATAGTCTGAACTTTTTCTCACTTTCTTATAAAGTGGAAACAGTAGCATGCTTGTAGAGCAACTTCTCTTTCAAGAACAAACAAGGGAACTCTCCTTCACACGGCACTAGAAGGCTCTCTTCTAGTATGAAAATGAACCACTAAAATAACAGACTGCTGATTGAGTCCAAAAATTAGAGAATCAAGGTATACCGAGATGCTGTGATAAAACCCACTACCATCAAGTTGATTCCGACTCATAGTGATGCTGTGACAGTCTCTACTTAAATAAACAGTTTACACACTTAGTAAGTGGCATGTAATATCATAGACCCAGCATAAATAGGGAGCTCTGGTAGCGTAGTGCCTAAGGCACTTGACTGCTAACCAGAAGGCTGGCGGTTCAAACCCACTACCCACTCCTCAGAAGGAAGATGGGACAGTCTACTTCCATAGTGATACTGCCTTGGAAACCCAAGGAGGGATCGTTATGAGTCGGGTCCAACTCGATGGCACTTAACAACAACAGCATAGATGGAGGTTAGGAGCATGCCTGGACTTTGCAACCAGACTGCCTGTGCTCAAATCCCAATTCTGCCACTTGCTAGTTCTGTGACCTTGGGCAAGTTAGTTAACCTTGCTGTGTTTAGTTTACTCATCTATAGAAGAGTGGGGATAAGAGTAGTACCTATCTCCTAGGCTTGTTTTAAGACACAGAACAATGCTTGCCACACAGTACTCATTATATTGAAGTTTGTTAAATAAAAATAAACTGTAGCTTTGGTCAATCCTTTATTCAGCCCTCATGAGTAATACCCAAAGTTGGAGAAGCTGCGGTATAGGATTCCAAAGGACTTGAACAGGTATCAAGCTATAAGCCAGACACTGTGGTTGGCTACAAGGACAAAATCATGAACATGTAAAATAAGGTACTTGTTCTCACTGAGCTTACACTATCGTATGAGAGATGAACAAAACATATAAACCAACCATTTCAAGTGGGGATGAGTACCAGACTTAAAGGAACTCAAGATGGTAAGAGAAGACTGACAGGATGTAGGGGCAGATTTGGCAGAGTATAACTTATGTTGAATGGTAAAGGTAGGCCTCTCTAAGGTGAAGGCATCTGAGCTGAGACCTAAAGGTGCTAACCTCACAGAAACCTGGCTCAAGGGTCTTTTAAGCAGAGGCAATATTTCACAAATTCATACTGGGAAACTCTCAAGTCTCTTTTCCCCTCTTTCAAATAATTGGCCTTCATCCCTCCAGTGGAATTTTTATTTTTTAGTAAGTGCTTTTTTATTTAAAAAAAAAAAAAAAAAGTAATGCTCTTAGGACTATTTACAAGGCTAGATGTTCTACATTCATGACAATCAGGTTTCTGCCAGAAAGCCTAAAATCATCCACGTTGGCCTGAGCGGCAGTTTTCATTTCTTCCACTAGGGGCCGCCGTTGTAAACTGTTTCTGAAGCCAACAGCCCCGCCCTAGTCAGAGAGGTAGAGAAGGGAAAGAGTAGGTACTGTGATTGGTACAATTAACCCCAATTTGAAGATGAAGAAACTGAGGTTCAGAGAGGTTAGGAAACTTGTGCAACAGCCCATAACTAGTAAACAGCAGAACTGAGTCTAGCCCTTAACATGGGTTATTTAAGTTCAGGGATCTCTCTTTCTTCTCTTTGGAAAAGCCCTATTAGAACCTTGGTTATTTTAAAAGGATGATTCTGCCTCAAAGCTCAGATCCCAAGGGTAGGATGGGGCCACCCTGTGCAGTAGCTGGGATATGGCTAACTTGCAAATAAACTTAGGAATCAAAAAGAGTGAGTTCACAGGAAAGGAGCCAGGTCCTCTGAGCAATCACTCTCACTTCACTTTTCCTCCCAGTTTTATGTAAAAAGTTAAAACTACGCCCCACCCCTATCCTCATCCCTTAAGCTGGGTCTACAACTCCTCAAGCGGAAGGGAGGGGGTGGAGAGAGACAGTAGGTAGCTGTAATAAAGGATGGCTGGTCTCAGAGTCTCCAAATGGATTATAAACTCAGAATCTGCCATGTGCTGGCTGGGTGACTTTAAGTAGATTGCTTAACCTCTCTAGACCATAGTATCCTCTACTGTAACATGAAGGATACCAACCGCCACCATCACTGGTAGAACAAAACTTCTCCTGGGTTTTGTGAAGATTAACCAAGACAGGGAATGTGATCTCATTTTTGGAAGCTGAAAGAGGAATACCAGTTAATAATAACTTATTATTATTTATATGCATTTGAGCATGCAAGCTAGAAAACAAGTACTTGCTAAATGAACAGATGAATCATAAAATGACAACAGAAGCAAGAAGAAATGCAAAGTGCTTGAAGGCTGGGCAGATTCGACTCTTTAAGTCTAAAACAGAAACTTCTTTTCAAACTAGAAAATAGAGCTTTGATTCAGTTTGAAACAGTTCCGTCATGGCTGAAGGAAACAAGTGTATCGTGTCTACTGCACAGCAACCAAATCTCTTGCACGTTGGATTCTGACCCAAGTAGGAACCTGGATCCTGACACGGGAAATTGGATTATTGGCAGGGCTGTGGAGACTGACACACATTCAAAGTGGTGGTTGGCCGCCATTAATGAGCAGGGCACTTCTGCCTGGTTCTCACTTGGGTCAAAATCCCAAGTGCAAAATGCATATGCTGCTCCTTTTTCATCAGCCATGACTGAACCATATCCAACCGGTTTGAAGCCCTGCTAGAAAAACAACACCCTTTCCAAGTCACCACTCTGCCCCCAGCAGTAGTAATGGGGCAAATGGACTGTGTCTGGGGTTTTCTCATACAAGCAGAGGACAAGATCTGCTTTCATTTACCAAATTGAATTCCTTCCTGTAGCCGACCCAAAAATCTAGGCAGTGAAAGTTGGAACAAGCATGACTGGACTTGCCAAGGGTGGTGGCCTGAGCAAAATGAAAACGCTTTTGGAATAACTTGATGTAAGGCACTTAACTTGTTTTGGGGCATCTCATCTTAATGGCTGCAAAGCCCTGACCTACAAGAAGTGAATATGAAATGTGAGGGACAGGCAGCCCCAACCTGAATTTCCAGGTGCTCATTAAGACCTATCATCTTTCCACAAAACCTGATTCTCCGGGCTGATAAATCAGAAATTATAGGAAAGAAAGGGGATCTCCAGCTCTGAGAAGGCTCCGGGAAGCTCACTTTAACCCTGATGAGGGCTGGGCAGTGTGTCTCTGAGCCACTGTGAACCCTAAAGCCAGAAGTGGGAGGATATTAAATGGCACAATGCTGAAACTAGGAGACTGGTACATGGGAATTGTATATACGTGAACATTTCCAAAACAAAAAGTTAAACAAAAATAAAGCCAGCAGGGGACTAACTATTCTTTAACTTAGCATATCCTCCATTCCTAAACCAGTTAGTTGGCCACTTGCTCTGGACACCAAATCCCATTGACAAGAACCCCTTGGTTCTTGGGCAAATCTTTTCATCACAATCACCTTCACCAAATACCACAGCCTCACCTAATAGCTTCAACTAATACTGTAAATATGTACAAAACATTGTTTGTCAGACACTGTTCTAAGCACTTTACAAATACTAATTTGTTTAATCTCGTACCTTATGAGGCTAGTAGGAGCACTGGTGGTACAGTGGTGAGCTTGGCTGACTTTAAAAGGTCAGCTACTCAAACCCACCAACTACTCCATAGGAGAAAGTTGTGGCAGTCTGCTTCTATAAAGATTTACAGCCTTGGAAACTCTATGGAGCAGTTCTATTTTGACCTATAGAGTTGTCATGAATTGGAGTCAACTCAATGGCAGTGGGTTTAGTATGGTTTTGGATGAGGCTATGTGGTGTAGTGAATTACTTGCTATGGTTTTTCTAGCCATAGTCTTTGTAACTCCCACTGGATTACTGGGTGGGATCATACAAATAAGGTGTATAGACTTCTGATGTTGGAATTAGTTAGTTTAGTCACTCTGCCAGGTTTAAAATGAGCTTTCCTAGAGGCAGAGGCGAGGATCTCACTGCTATCGAGAAAGAGCTAGAGGTGAATTACAGCGCATCCTTGGACTTGAGATCCCTGCACTGGACCTTCTTGGCAGAGAGATGCCTTGTCAAAGAGACACCTCAGCAGAGAGATGCTCCAGCAGAGAAGACAATGGCAGTGGAACCAAGAAGCATGAGACAGAGCGGCAGGCTTGCTTGGCCCAGAGAGCGAGAAAGCTGAGTGCCCTTGGACAGGAGGCTTGATGACAGAGTGGGGTGCACCTAGGTGTACCTATCGACATAAAAGAGCTTTGTAACACTTGCCCGAGCAGGGCAGAGGCTAGGCCAAGAGGCCAAGGGTCAGAAAGGCATGTCTGAGGGCACAGCAGAGGGGAGACTCTCCTGATTGAAAAACTGTATCCTGAGTGTGTTCCTGTGACCTGTTACTTCCCTAATAAACCCCATACTTGTGAGTATTGGCTATGAATTCTGTGTGGGCATTGCAATAAATTATTGAATCCAGCAGAGTAGTAGTAAGTGCTGTGGGAGGGATGGTTGGTGTCAGAATTAATAAAAAGGCTGGAGGGTAGTGGCATGTCTGGCCTCAGAGGATGTTGATGGTGATTGTGTCTTCCTCTTGTGAAGTTAGAGGCGGTCAGAAGATGTCGCCTCATGTACTTCTAGCAGGCTAGTACTATGAGTGTTCCCTTTTCAAGAATGGGGAAATTGAGGGAGCTAGGAAGTGGCAGATTTGGGATTTGAACCGAAGCAGTTTGACCTGAGAGTTCACCACTACGCCTGTGCTTCTCCCTATG